ATATATGCTAGCCCCCCCCCCCCCCCCCCCAAGACCAACCCTGAATTCCCTAAATTCCCTAATTCCCTACCCATTGGATTTAGGGACTTCCCTATTTCCTTAAATTCCCTAAATTCCCTAATTCCCTACCTCATGTGTTGGATTTAGGGAATTCCCTATTTCCCTAAATTCCCTAAATTCCCTAAGTCTGACCCCCATGGATAAGATTCAATGGTTTCCGTTCATGGGTCGGGAATTTAGGGAATTCTAGGAAATTTAGGGAATTCCCTAAATCCAACACATGGGGTAAGGACTTAGGGAATTTAGGGAATTAGGGAATTCCCTATAAGGGTTAAGGTTTAGGGAATTTAAGGAATTTAGGGAATTAGGGAATTCCCTAAGTCCAACAGATGGGGTGGGGAATTAGGGAATTTAGGGAATTTAGGGAATTAGGGAATTTAGGGAATTCAGGGAATTTAAGGAAACTAGGGAATTTAGGGAATTCCCTAAATCCAACACATGGTCCTGGCTGAGAGTCAGGAAAGTTAGGGAATGCGCTAAAACCAACACATGGGGCTGGACATTAGGGTATGTAAAGACTTTAGGGATTTAGGGAGTCTGCAGGAACTCACGCTTTCTGTAAATTCGAGGCATGGAAGCAGTGATTAGAGAATTTAGGGATCTCGACCTCGCGACGTCGCCGGTTGACGGGTCTGTGCAACTGATACTTGTAGTAATATTGATATTATTTTGGAAACTTTGAAAACTATAATACTCGTACGAGTACTAATACTTATAGTAATACTACTGGTGAAACTGATAGTAATGCTAGTATGAATACTGATGTTCCTAAGAATACTAGAAATCATGTACATTGTAAGAATAGTCTTGATGCGAATATTAATATACATACTATAGCTAGTATTATCGCTAGTATGAATATTGGCTATGCATATTCGTGAAACTACTCATCTTCGGAGTACTCATAGTCATGCTAATATTAGCATTAAGGCTAGTGCGAACGTGCATAATAAAATGCTCATACATGAATGTTAGCATTCGTATTTATATCAGCATTGGTATGTTTTTCAGTAGTACTAGTAACTCATACGAAGAGTAACCTCAAGTTTCATATTCCGACGAATGCCAACGCATGTTTTGTTCATACTAATTTTAATTCTACTACTAGTATCTACTCCTAGTATTGAAAAACTGTACCAATACCAATTTTAGAATTGATGTGAACACGAACTTTAATGTTCTTGCTAATACTAATATGCATAGTGATATTAGTTAGCATTAATGTATAGGAAAACTAATGTTCTTACGAATACTAATAATCATGTTCCCCTTTTATATTCATATAAGAATCGTCATGCCTAGATACGTACTAATGCTAGTGCTCATGCTAATACGAGTATTAATACCAATACAAGCATAGGTATGAATATCCTACGGGTATTTATGCTCATGTTCTTAACAAAACTATTCTCACTACGAATACCGACATTAATAGTCTCTTTAGAACAATATTGATATTAATATGAACACTAATACTTCGGTCATCAAGTTCCTGCTCGGCAGCTAACAAGGACTCAATCTGCAGCTGCAGTCGCACTGGCTCCGTTTGGACCTGAAGTGACACGCAAGATGGACCCAAGATGACTCCTATGCCAACATGTGCTCAGGGTAGCTTGTAAGAAAGTGGTTTCACCAAGGTCTGCACGCCTACATCGACGCGCTTCGGGTGCTTTGGCCTTTTCTTCTTCGCGGCCTTGTGCATCCATGTCAACGTGCAACATCTTGATGAAAGTACACACCTGTACCAGGCCTCACTCAAAAGAGCGAGAAGCAGAAGCACCAGGATCTTCGACCTGGACGGTTGATGCTGAACACACACACACACTGGTCGACACTGTGAAGAATACGAACAGACAATAATTGGAGCGGCCTCATCGTCTCGCACTGCTGAGCAGGGCGGCAGGATGCGGCAGGATGCGGCAGGGCTATGAACCAAAGGACCGAGGATACGAAAATTGCAAACACACCATGGCCAAACTGCTTAGCCTCCTCCAGCTGGCTTGATGGCTTCAAAGGAAAGGGGTATGTTGCGAAAGGATGCGCAAACAGGATGAAATTGAACATGCTTAGAACACCACACATTCACACACCTGCACTCATCCCCTCTGAAAAATTCAGGAAAATGCCTGGACCTGATAACCAACGCAATCTTACGCAGGAATCTCCATGGCAAACTTCACATGTTGCTCAAAGCAATCTTCGCAGAATCCGAACGCCGTTGCTTCCATGAGCATGGCCCGTCCATTCAGTAGCTCACAAAGCGCCATGCGACCTGCTGCATCTACCAAACGGTCTGACGCACGTCTGTGGCGCGAGCTGACACACTGTGCAACAGCACGGCCGTCCTTCATGTGGCATGTTCATCGGCGCCAAAGCCTCAGCGCGCACAGACCAAATTCCAAAATGCTTCCAGTTTCGGGGCAGACTGGTAAGGGCGCTACAGCAACTCCTGCAACTCGCTTTCGATCTGTGCTCGCTGCGCATTGCTTGTTGCCTGCATGTCTTGAGCAAACTCAAGATCGGTGGTTGCCAAAGGTACACCGACAGAGCCTGTCCTTCTTGAGCTGCTTAAATTTCTTCTGCCAATTTCGTCGGCGGATCCGCTTTGCGACCTGCGACGGTCGTAACGCATTTATTGTCGCAGCTGAGCAAAACAAATCCCAAGAAACTCGAACCCCCAGCCCAACTTTCAACAATACCTTGCACAATTCAATTCACACAGCGCATGCAAATATCAAGTTGCAAGACTTCGGCAACTATCCTTATCAACTGTCATATCGGCCCCAAAGCCTCCACCCGGCGGTACCAACTTACGACTTTTGGAATACTAGTGAAATTATTTGTGCTCATACAAATATAGAAAGATAATTACATACTCATATTAATATCAATACCAATATGATTTTACAAACATCAAATTAGTGTCAATATCGTTTTTGTAATGTATACTAAAGAACACATCAGAATAAGGCACAAGAAAATGAATGCAACAGATTGTTAAAAACCTCAATGTTTTCATTTACCAGTATGTATGGTTATAGTATTATACTAATATAGTAAAAAATTAATATACTAATATACTGAGAAATTGATATACCAATAGGCCATTGTTACTAATATACCAATATACGAGTATACTGAAAACTGTTTTTGTTAATATATATGTTTTGTTTATATGCCAATATACTGAATATACACATATGAATACTGATACACATAATGTACTAAGACTAAGTTTTAAGGCCCAGCCCACGTCTAATATTAATACGAATACTAACACGAACACTAACACTAACACTGCTATAGACATATATTAAATTAAAACTGGAGCACTAATACTCATATTAATATTAAGTCTAACACTGACGTTGACACTGACACCAGCATCAGCACTAACAGGAACATTAATCAAACGAACAGCAATATTGGACAGATACCAGCAGCATTGTTAGAACTTCTACAATTAGTAATGACACAAAACTAATAATAATGCTAACGCTAGCGAAAATATTAAGGTTACTACTCACAATAATTAAGGTTAAAACTTAGAACAAAATTAAGTCAAGACCAATGTTAACACTGTTTTTTAAGACTGAAACTAAGAATATTACTTTGACAAGATGACGATCATGAATAAAGGATGAGGCACACAAACTGGACTCTGTCTTTTACCACTCCGACAAGACGCGCCGAGAGTGTAAATGGTGTCCATAAAACTGAACCCTGTTTTTTACCAGTCTGTCAAGAGGCGTCGACAGTGCAAACTTTGTATGGGAACACAAACACCATCGGTATTTACAGTGGTTTCGGCTCTTATCCATGACGCTGTGAAGACAGTAATGAGCGGGGGGGGGGGTTACCATATATATATATATATATGTAGGAGCAGATTGTCCGCGTGTATTGCATTGAGGCTCTGGGGCGTGTGGTTCATGGTGGAGGATTCATTCGTTGTACATCGTGTAAAAGTCATAACAGCTGTATATGTGCACCTGGCAAAAAAATGTTGTCCGGCGCTTGCGCAATTTGTGTGCTGCATCACTGTGAGCCCTAACTCTCGAAGCCCCTGAGCCCAACCCCTACACTTCGTAGTCACAACATGACGAGGGGGATCCGGTAGCTTCAGAATAACACCATACCGAAAACTGTAACTAGACTACCATGGCACTATGATGACATTACGGCGGTACAATAATGATGCCACAGTGAACATACATAGTGGAACTAACCAAGCACAATAATATGTATATTGCCGACCGAATATGACTGTAACATCACGATGTGCTCTGTGCTTCCGAAAACCTGCGATGCTTTGTCGCAGGAAAGCTACACCTTGATCCATGGCCGGGGAGATGGGGTGTTTCGGGTTCCCTGGTTTGCAAGCTTAGGTTAGGGCTTTTGTGGCTTAGGGTTGAGGCTTGTAGGTTAGGGTTTCAGAGTTTCGGGTTCAGGACAAGCTTGTGATAGGGGTTTATGGTCGGCGCGTGCTTTCGGCGTTTCGTGGCACCGCCGGGCCGCGTGCCTGGAGCGTTGTGCCGACTCAGCAGGCAGTGAAGCACCAGACTCCGTCTTGGTATCAATCTATAAATACATCTGCATATATGTATATACACACACACACATACACACTGTGCTTGTGGAAGACTATGACTACAAATCACGTCAGTGGGGCATCAAGAGCTTATGTGGCAATGGCGATAGGCACCACTAGAGTCACCAGATCTCGGTGCCAAGCAATCAGCAAAAGAGGTAATGTAGGGGCCGGACGTGAGTTTCGGGGTATAGTATGGGAGAAGCATAGGATGATCATAAGGGGACACGGGACGTAGTAAGTCAAAACCCTCATTGTAGGCTATGCATAACACCCTCTGGATCCCTCAAAGCCTGATACAAGACCCTACAAGCACCTGTTATGACTTGCAGCCGTCCGGGGTTCCGGCAGACTTTGCCAGCGTTCCCACAGCGGCATCCACATCGGCCTTTAACGACAGTCAGTGCGGAGTTGCATAGAGTTTTGCAGCGCTGAATAAAGGTCTTGCAGGGTTCGGTGACAGGCTTGCACGTTAGAAGGGCCCCCACCCATAGGGGAATAATAGGAATATAATAGGGCCCTAATATGATCCTTATAGTCACTATTACAGGGTGCTCGCCGTCCCAAACCTTGAGCCCCAACTGCGAAGATCCAAGCATTAACCAGCTAGAGACTTTCAGGCCCAGCAATCTCCACAAACCCCAAACTAAAAGTTTCCGAAAAGAGGGGACCCTAATGTAGTACCCTAAATAGTACGACCTTATTGTAAGGACCCAAAAAATAGGGTACCCCTAATTTTCGGAAACTCCCAACTCAAAACATCCACCCTTGACCTCTAAACCGCAAGCCCACTTTGCCACCCACCCTGGCATACAAGCCCACTTTGCGCAAGCTGATAGAAAGGCAACGGGCAACACCATGTTTCAGAATCGTTGACAAAACTCCCCCAAACATCCTAAACCCCTAAGCTTCCCCAAACCCTAAACTCCTAAGACCTAAAACCCTAAACTTGGAACCCTAAACCCCACAAACCCTAAACCCCTAAACTTTAAACCCCCAAACTGGTGCCACACCGAGGCTCTGGATTGAAATGGCCTCCGACGCCGGGAACCTCTACGAGAAATGGCCGTTCTTAGACGTCGGCTGCAGGCATAACATAGGGGCCTTAATAATTAGAATACGGTTTTCGGGCCCATTATACGAAAATTATGATAAGGAACACCCCAAAATAGTGTAAGTAATTATTGAGGCCCTTATAGTAGGCCTAAGAGTTCAAGTCCAAGGGTCTGGCCTCAAGGTAACTTACCTTTGGTTCGTAGGGAATGGAGGAATGGGGTACAAGTACAACTACTAGTACTACCACTCTTCCATTCCCTACTGACCGGAGGTAAAGCAAAAGGTCTCAGGTCCTGTTTTGGGCTTTCGGTTCTGGGTTGAAGCTTGTGGCTTCACCTTGTGGGGTTTCGGGGAGAGCCCATTCGCTTGGGGATGGGTGTCCTACTATAGGCGCTCTAATAATTAGAACGGGTTTTCTGGGGCCCATTATACTACAGCTTTAAGAAGGAGCCCCCCCAAAACAGTATATTAGGTGCTTTACATTCTAAGCAATTCTGCCTTGTGCAAACCCGGCTGCATCGGCGGGGTGACCGTTCAATTTTTGAAACAGAAGCGGAGCGGTACCCGAAGAGGAGATGTCACTATGTACAGCCTGCCGGCGTCAGTGTCACCCTGTGTCAACTGTGTGAGCTCTTCCAACTTTGCTCACTAGTCGCGGCTGTTGCCTGTGCTGCACCTGAATTCGGAGGCTTCCTCCGCGATCCTGCCACCCAACTGTGCAACGCAGCTGCTGAACAAAGATCTCCCAGCTACCCCATCAATCAAAAGTGACGCAGGGGCTGGCAGACGCATATAGTTGCGGAAGGGGAGACGCATCTATGTGCGACAGGATCCAAAAATCTGTACATAAAGCTCTACATGAATGATATGGCTTCCAGTGGCCAAAATGCTCAGCAGGTCTTGCACTCATAGCCTCACATATCCGGTGTTTAGTAGGCCCATATTCTGAAGCCCACCAGAAACCTTTAGGGTAGTGGGGTTCGAATACCCGAAACATTCGAAGTACAAAGCGTGCCAAGGCAATTCCGAAGTCGCGGAAGCACCAGTAGTTCCACAGCCCGAGAATGCGTCCTTTTGCGCAGTACTTTCCGCAAGGGCCTCACCGTGAGATCATCATACCAATTGCCGCAAAAATTCAGCACAAAATCAGGGACCGAGGTTTGGGGCTTAGGAATGCCGATAGCAGACTACCACCTACATGAATGCTGAAGCACACTGGGAGTCAGTAGACCTACTTATACTATGCGTTAATCATGCACTCGTAGCGCCAGCAAGTGGCCAGTCTTACGACTTACGACCTGTTTGCGGCCCCGATGTGTTAAGTTGCAGAGCGAGGTGCAAGAGACAGGGCTGACGGATGGAAGGTCCCAGCCGGACGCAAGGCTTTTCTCCAGTGCCACGGGTGTGCCTTGCCGCTCCGGCGCCTGGGGTCGTGCTCCAAAGTCTATTGGGCTTAGGGTGTGGCTTTAGAGTTGAAGACTTTATGTTTAGGGTTCAATTTAGTTTTTCTGGTGTCCCGGAAGGCATCTCCGGATTTGACTCTGCATCTTTGCATTGGTGCTTCAGAGTGCCCATGTCCTATTTGCCAACGTTGAAGCAAACTCAACCTGTCTTGACGGGGCACAAAGACCCGGCGTTATCCTGGTGAGGACAGCGTTTTCTTGGGGGTAACACGACAGCTTTGGTAGATTGCAAAGGTCTTCGGCTATGCTGGCAAACTGGGTATATTTAGTCCACAACCACAGCTGCTAAGCTGTTCCAATGGTAGTTCCTGTAGAACCATGATCTCATTGCTCCCCCGAAGCACTACGCATTGAATATTCGAAGTGCTCAGGCCCTTGCCGTGCCTGCGCAGTCTTAGCACTCGCCGCAGCCTTCTCATCGGCGTGGGCGGGCTGACTGCCGCGCAGGGAGGTGCCGTTGCTCTCCGGGCATACCAGGCAGCCACATGCCTTCAGAAAGCTTTCCTACTTCTGGCGCCTTTCTTACGGGCTTCAGAATGCCATGCGGGTTTATGGGGTTTGCATATCATCGGGGTTCGTTCTATTAAGTATACTTGGGTCTATAGTGTAGGAGCCTTACTGCTTAGAATAGGGTTTGGGGAACATTGTACTATAACTGTACAGGGACTGCAATCTTTAAACTGGGAGTATCTTGAGCTATGTTGTACAATTGCATAAGGACGATGACCCTAATTTCAAAGGGCCAGCAGCTTCTTTCTGAACCTTCCGAAAGATCAAATGCCGCCCTCGAAAGGCAAAAAGTAAACTGTCTAGCGCTTGCAGAGGTTTCTTAGGGATTCTAGGGTTCAGGATTTGTAGGGTTTAGTGGTTTCCCAGGTGGATTTAGAGGGTTCAACGAGGGATCAACAGCATCAGTTTGAGGCAGTTTGCTTGCCTACGAAAGTCCAAAGCCCTCATACCATAGAAGCATGAACACATGGAAGTCCTATTCTCTGTTCATTACACAATCTCAGAGCCCCAGGTTCGATTACTACGCGGGATCTACATCACGGCAAGCCTTGCCGATGGAGCCATCCTTCTCTGCACAGGAGAGGCCGCACTTGCAGTAGACGAAGTTGTCCCAGAAGCTCTGGGGCAGGGCTTCCAGTGCCGGCGCAGCATCTTGGGGCATGTCCTCGGTCACGGCGAAGGCCACAAGAGCCAAGGCAACGACGCTGCGGAGAGTCATGGCCATCGGCAAGTAGGTGGAGCGAGGAAACGGCGGAGACGGGGCAAGGACTTGCTGAGAAACCGTAAATGGCTCGTGACATTCGGCTTCCTGCAGGAACACCATGGCCCTGAAGCCAAAACCCAATTTAATTGCGGAAATCCAGCTGCATCGATGTGATGACGGTTCCTTTTTGTTGAAACAGAAGCGGAGCGGTACCCGAAGAGGAGGCGTCGCTATGTACAGCCTGCCGGCGTCAGTGTCACCCTGTGTCAACTGTGTGAGCTCTTCCAACTTTGCTCACTAGTCGCGGCTGTTGCCTGTGCTGCACCTGAATTCGGAGGCTTCCTCCGCGATCCTGCCACCCAACTGTGCAACGCAGCTGCTGAACAAAGATCTCCCAGCTACCCCATCAATCAAAAGTGACGCAGGGGCTGGCAGACGCATATAGTTGCGGAAGGGGATACGCATCTATGTGCGACAGGATCCAAAAATCTGTACATAAAGCTTTACATAAATGATATGGCTTGCAGTGGCCAAAATGCTCAGCAGGTCTTGCACTCGTAGCCTCACATATCCGGTGTTTAGTAGGCCCATATTCTGAAGCCCGCCAGAAACCTTTAGGGGAGTGGGGTTTGAATACCCGAAACATTCGAAGTACAAAGCGTTCCAGGGCAATTCCGAAGTCGCGGAAGCACCAGTAGTTCCACAGCCCGAGAATGCGTCCCTTCGCGCAGTACTTGCCGCAAGGGCCTCGCCGCGAGATCATACCATTCACGGCCAAAAATCAAGGGCTGAGGCGGGAATAAGATGCGGATCACAACACTACCACCTAAATGAATGCTGAAGCACGCTGGGAGTCAGTAGACCTACTTGTACTATGCTTTAATTATGTACTTGTAGCGCCAGCAAGTGGCCAGTCTTACGACTTACGACCTGTTTGCGGCCCCGATGTGTTAAGTTGCAGAGCGAGGTGCAAGAGACAGGGCTGACGGATGGCAGGTCCCAGCCGGACGCAAGGCTTTTCTCCAGTGCCACGGGTGTGCCTTGCCGCTCCGGCGCCTGGGGTCGTGCTCCAAAGTATTTGGGCTTGGGGTGTGGCTTTACAGTTGAGGGCTTCATGCGTCCTTCTTCTGGTGTCGCGGAAGCGGAAGGAACCTCCCGATTTGCGGGGGTATTGTGACATAAGACCTGCGCTTTCTTGCAGCAACACGTGCAGGGGTCTTGGGCTATGCTGGCAAACGGGGTATATTTAGTCCACAACCACAGCTGCTAAGCTGTTCCAATGGTAGTTCCTGTAGAACCATGATCTAATTGCTCCCCCGAAGCACTACATATTGAGTATTCGAAGTGCTCAGGCCCTTGCCGTGCCTGCGCAGTCTTAGCACTCGCCGCAGCCTTCTCATCGGCGTGGGCGGGCTGACTGCCGCGCAGGGAGGTGCCGTTGCTCTCCGGGCATACCAGGCAGCCACATGCCTGCAGAAAGCTTTCCTACTTCTGGCGCCTTTCTTACGGGCTTCATATGGCTGCCATGCGGGTTTAGGGGGTTTCCGAGAACCAAACGCATATCATCGGGGTTCGTTCCATAAAGTATCGTGCTACTTGGGTCTATAGAAAGGAGGCTTCCTAGTTTCAATAGGGTTTTTTGGGAACATCGTACTATAACTGTACAGTGACTGCAATCTTTAAACTGGGAGTATCTTGAGCTATGTTGTACAATAAGGACGATGACCCTAATTTCAAGGGCCAGTAGCTTCCTTCTGAACCTTCCGAAAGATCAAATGCCGCACTCGGAATACAAAAACTAAACTGTCTAGGGCTTGCAGAGGTTTCTTAGGGAGTTTAGGGTTCAGGATTTTTGGGGTTTGGTGGTTTTCCAGGAAGATTTAGAGGGTTTAAAGAAGGATTAAATTGGAAGTCCTATTCCTTGCTCATTACACAATCTCAGAGCCCCAGGTTCGATTACTACGCGGGATCTACATCATGGCAAGCCTTGCCGATGGAGCCATCCTTCTCTGCACAGGAGAGGCCGCACTTGCAGTAGACGAAGTTGTCCCAGAAGCTCTGGGGCAGGGCTTCCAGTGCCGGCGCAGCATCTTGGGGCATGTCCTCGGTCACGGCGAAGGCCACAAGAGCCAAGGCAACGACGCTGCGGAGAGTCATGGCCATCGGCAAGTAGGTGGAGCGAGGAAACGGCGGAGACGGGGCAAGGACTTGCTGAGAAACCGTAAATGGCTCGTGACATTCGGCTTCCTGCAGGAACACCATGGCCCTGAATCCAAAACCCAATTTAATTGCGGAAATCCAGCTGCATCGATGTGATGACGGTTCCTTTTTGTTGAAACAGAAGCGGAGCGGTACCCGAAGAGGAGGCGTCGCTATGTACAGCCTGCCGGCGTCAGTGTCACTCTGTGTCAACTGTGCGAGCTCTTCCAACTTTGCTCACTAGTCGCGGCTGTTGCCTGTGCTGCACCTGAATTCGGAGGTTTCCTCCGCGATCCTGCCACCCAACTGTGCAACGCAGCTGCTGAACAAAGATCTCCCAGCTACCCCATCAATCAAAAGTGACGCAGGGGCTGGCAGACGCATATAGTTGCGGAAGGGGATACGCATCTATGTGCGACAGGATCCAAAAATCTGTACATAAAGCTTTACATAAATGATATGGCTTTGCAGTGGCCAAAATGCTCAGCAGGTCTTGCACTCGTAGCCTCACATATCCGGTGTTTAGTAGGCCCATATTCTGAAGCCCGCCAGAAACCTTTAGGGTAGTGGGGTTTGAATACCCGAAACATTCGAAGTACAAAGCGTTCCAGGGCAATTCCGAAGTCGCGGAAGCACCAGTAGTTCCACAGCCCGAGAATGCGTCCCTTCGCGCAGTACTTGCCGCAAGGGCCTCGCCGCGAGATCATACCATTCACGGCAAAAAATCAAGGGCTGAGGCGGGAATAAGATGCGGATCACAACACTACCACCTAAATGAATGCTGAAGCACGCTGGGAGTCAGTAGACCTACTTGTACTATGCTTTAATTATGTACTTGTAGCGCCAGCAAGTGGCCAGTCTTACGACTTACGACCTGTTTGCGGCCCCGATGTGTTAAGTTGCAGAGCGAGGTGCAAGAGACAGGGCTGACGGATGGCAGGTCCCAGCCGGACGCAAGGCTTTTCTCCAGTGCCACGGGTGTGCCTTGCCGCTCCGGCGCCTGGGGTCGTGCTCCAAAGTATTTGGGCTTGGGGTGTGGCTTTACAGTTGAGGGCTTCATGCGTCCTTCTTCTGGTGTCGCGGAAGCGGAAGGAACCTCCCGATTTGCGGGGATATTGTGACATAAGACCTGCGCTTTGTTGCAGCAACACGACAGCTTAAGTAGCCTGCATGGGTCTTGGGCTATGCTGGCAAACGCGGGGATACTTGTTCAACAGCCACAGCTGCTAAGCTGTTCCAATGGTAGTTCCTGTAGAACCATCATCTAATTGCTCCCCCGAAGCACTACATATTGAGTATTCGAAGTGCTCAGGCCCTTGCCGTGCCTGCGCAGTCTTAGCACTCGCCGCAGCCTTCTCATCGGCGTGGGCGGGCTGACTGCCGCGCAGGGAGGTGCCGTTGCTCTCCGGGCATACCAGGCAGCCACATGCCTGCAGAAAGCTTTCCTACTTCTGGCGCCTTTCTTACGGGCTTCATATGGCTGCCATGCGGGTTTAGGGGGTTTCCGAGAACCAAACGCATATCATCGGGGTTCGTTCCATAAAGTATCGTGCTACTTGGGTCTATAGAAAGGAGGCTTCCTAGTTTCAATAGGTTTTTTGGGAACATCGTACTATAACTGTACAGTGACTGCAATCTTTAAACTGGGAGTATCTTGAGCTATGTTGTACAATTGCATAAGGACGATGACCCTAATTTCAAAGGGCCAGTAGCTTCCTTCTGAACCTTCCGAAAGATCAAATGCCGCACTCGGAATACAAAAACAAAACTGTCTAGGGCTTGCAGAGGTTTCTTAGGGATTTTAGGGTTCAGGATTTTTGGGGTTTGGTGGTTTTCCAGGAAGATTTAGAGGGTTTAAAGAAGGATTAAATTGGAAGTCCTATTCCTTGCTCATTACACAATCTCAGAGCCCCAGGTTCGATTACTACGCGGGATCTACATCATGGCAAGCCTTGCCGATGGAGCCATCCTTCTCTGCACAGGAGAGGCCGCACTTGCAGTAGACGAAGTTGTCCCAGAAGCTCTGGGGCAGGGCTTCCAGTGCCGGCGCAGCATCTTGGGGCATGTCCTCGGTCACGGCGAAGGCCACAAGAGCCAAGGCAACGACGCTGCGGAGAGTCATGGCCATCGGCAAGTAGGTGGAGCGAGGAAACGGCGGAGACGGGGCAAGGACTTGCTGAGAAACCGTAAATGGCTCGTGACATTCGGCTTCCTGCAGGAACACCATGGCCCTGAAGCCAAAACCCAATTTAATTGCGGAAATCCAGCTGCATCGATGTGATGACGGTTCCTTTTTGTTGAAACAGAAGCGGAGCGGTACCCGAAGAGGAGGCGTCGCTATGTACAGCCTGCCGGCGTCAGTGTCACTCTGTGTCAACTGTGCGAGCTCTTCCAACTTTGCTCACTAGTCGCGGCTGTTGCCTGTGCTGCACCTGAATTCGGAGGTTTCCTCCGCGATCCTGCCACCCAACTGTGCAACGCAGCTGCTGAACAAAGATCTCCCAGCTACCCCATCAATCAAAAGTGACGCAGGGGCTGGCAGACGCATATAGTTGCGGAAGGGGATACGCATCTATGTGCGACAGGATCCAACAATCTGTACATAAAGCTTTACATAAATGATATGGCTTGCAGTGGCCAAAATGCTCAGCAGGTCTTGCACTCGTAGCCTCACATATCCGGTGTTTAGTAGGCCCACATTCTGAAGCTTGCCAGAAACCTTTAGGGTAGTGGGGTTTGAATACCCGAAACATTCGAAGTACAAAGCGTTCCAGGGCAATTCCGAAGTCGCGGAAGCACCAGTAGTTCCACAGCCCGAGAATGCGTCCCTTCGCGCAGTACTTGCCGCAAGGGCCTCGCCGCGAGATCATACCATTCACGGCAAAAAATCAAGGGCTGAGGCGGGAATAAGATGCGGATCACAACACTACCACCTAAATGAATGCTGAAGCACGCTGGGAGTCAGTAGACCTACTTGTACTATGCTTTAATTATGTACTTGTAGCGCCAGCAAGTGGCCAGTCTTACGACTTACGACCTGTTTGCGGCCCCGATGTGTTAAGTTGCAGAGCGAGGTGCAAGAGACAGGGCTGACGGATGGCAGGTCCCAGCCGGACGCAAGGCTTTTCTCCAGTGCCACGGGTGTGCCTTGCCGCTCCGGCGCCTGGGGTCGTGCTCCAAAGTATTTGGGCTTGGGGTGTGGCTTTACAGTTGAGGGCTTCATGCGTCCTTCTTCTGGTGTCGCGGAAGCGGAAGGAACCTCCCGATTTGCGGGGATATTGTGACATAAGACCTGCGCTTTGTTGCAGCAACACGACAGCTTAAGTAGCCTGCATGGGTCTTGGGCTATGCTGGCAAACGCGGGGATACTTGTTCAACAGCCACAGCTGCTAAGCTGTTCCAATGGTAGTTCCTGTAGAACCATCATCTAATTGCTCCCCCGAAGCACTACATATTGAGTATTCGAAGTGCTCAGGCCCTTGCCGTGCCTGCGCAGTCTTAGCACTCGCCGCAGCCTTCTCATCGGCGTGGGCGGGCTGACTGCCGCGCAGGGAGGTGCCGTTGCTCTCCGGGCATACCAGGCAGCCACATGCCTGCAGAAAGCTTTCCTACTTCTGGAGCTTTTGGTGTGTAGGGGCTGGCCTTTCTTAAGCGCTTCATAGCACTGCTATATGGCTTTATGGGGTTTCCGAAAATCAAAGGCATATTATCGGGGTTCGTGCTGGCAGGGATCGTAGTTTGAGGGCCTTAATAGTTCGGATAGAGTTTTGGGGTACATTGTACTATGACTGCACAGGGACCATAACTAGAAACAAGATCTGGGAGTATCTTGAACTCTATTCTGCAACCGTATAAAGACGATGACCACCCATTCAAAAGGGGCCATCAGCTTTTTTCTGAACCTTAGAAACGTAAACGTGCTGGCGCTTGAGGGGTTTCTTGGGGATTCTAAGGTTCAGGGTTTTGGGGGTTTAGTGGTTTTCCGAGCGGTTTTAAAGGGTTTAAGGAAGGATCAAACGGGTGATGCTTCTTGGGTCATCTATCAGAATGTAACCGCTGTGAACGTCACGACTGTTGCAATCAGTTTGAGGCAGTTTGCTTGCCTGCGAAAGTCCAAAGCCCTCATACCATAGAAGCATGAACACATGGAAGTCCTATTCCCTGTTCATTACACAATCTCAGAGCCCCAGGTTCGACTACTACGCGGGATCTACATCATGGCAAGCCTTGCCAATGGAGCCATCCTTCTCTGCACAGGAGAGGCCGCACTTGCAGTAGACGAAGTTGTCCCAGAAGCTCTGGGGCAGGGCTTCCAGTGCCGGCGCAGCATCTTGGGGCATGTCCTCGGTCACGGCGAAGGCCACAAGAGCCAAGGCAACGACGCTGCGGAGAGTCATGGCCATCGGCAAGCAGGTGGAGCGAGGAAACGGCGGAGACGGGGCAAGGACTTGCTGAGAAACCGTAAATGGCTCGTGACATTCGGCTTCCTGCAGGAACACCATGGCCCTGAGGCCAAAACCCTGTTTACTATCTAGGTTGCCCTTTTTTCTAGAGAGTGGAGAGCTTTGTGTGCGGCTCTGCCTCTGTTTAAGGAGCCGCTTGAAACCTTGCCCGCCGTCGTCTTCCAGCATAGCCCCAACAATCAAGCGATGGAATTCAGAACTACCATGACTGCTTGCAGGATCATGGGACTTAGTAGCTAGGGTCAGAAGTAAAGTAAAGTAACTGTAGTTAGAATTTCTTTTTGCGCCAATTAAGGTACTTATGACCTTACTACGTCCCATGATCCTCCAAGTACCTGAACGAGCCGCTTTCGCCTCGAGTGGGAAAATGCCTTCGAGCTTCAAGCTCCAAGTTTGGACGGCCACCTCCGGAACGGTTTAGGGTTTAGGGTTTAGGGTTTAGGGTTTAGGGTTTAGGGTTTAGGGTTAGGGTTCACGGGTTAAGGGGCTTAAGGGTTTAGGTCCTGAAAGGTATCCTGCTGGTTAGGCACTGTAATGGAGTTCTTCAGATTGGAGTGCTTCAGTTTCCCTCATTCAGGTTCTGTTGAAGAACTTTAGCTTTAAGTTACCTCGGTGAGGAACCTATCCTTGCGTTACTACGAGTATATATGCTTACTATGGGAGCAACGTGCTAGGAAAACCTCGGAAATCCCGATACATGACAATGATGACAATGATGGCTCTGACATGGTCCGGATGCTTCTTGTTCATTCTTCCTGGCTGCAAGCGTGGTGTGCGTGTGTGCCCCCGGACATCGGCGGACACAAGAGACCGGTGAACGGCGATTCTCTCGCGTCCCCGTTGCATGACAAGAATTGCATGTCAAACACTCCTGGCAAGCGTCGCACAAGGCAGTCGTGTATCTGGTTTAGCTGTAGCTAATGAAATTGTGAAATTATCATACCGACCTTTGCTGCCAATCTCGGCAAGCTTTTCATGTCAGCGATTCTGCAATTCAGCCACTGGTTATGAACTACTCCGATGCAGGATCTACAGCCTAAGCCCTGTCTGCACGGAAATTCTTTGAGGTTCTGGGAAGATACTTCCGCAGAAAGTCTTGCAGGCTCAGCGATTATACTTGCCTATCAGCACAATCAATGCAACATCACACGGTGCAGCTAGGCAGAAGTGGAGAAGGCCCCACACCTGCAACTCAATAGTCCATCGATACTTGCGCAATATGTGGTCATTGAGACTTTGAATAAGGCTGTAGGGTAAACTATAGTCTCGTTATGGAGGGACGACAAGAGGATACGATTACTATTGCTAAGCATTCAGCTCTATGCGAGCTGTTCCAGCGCCGCACCTCAAATTCTGTGCCCCAGGCACCAGTTGTGGGGATGCTCGTAGATCTGAGGACTAATGTAGGAACCTGATTAAGAAACCCTGGGCCTATAACCCCAAAGTAGTAGGATTCATAAAAGGAACCCTAATAAAGGCCCAAGGTTTCTGAATCAGGTTCCTACATCACTTGTTGCAACCTAAAAACCTATATGCACCAGAGCTGATCTGACCCAGCTCCGAACCTGAGACAGCCAAGCTGATTTTATAGGGGCCTTAACAACTAGAACAGGATTTGGGGCCCATTATAGTATAAGTGTATGAAGGAACCTCCAAAATAGTACAGGCAATTATTCAGGGCCCTTCATCAGCAGTCTTCTACGGAAGGGTCTTAGGATCGCCTGTCGTCTTCTGTTAAAGCTGTTCGCAGAGCCTTAACCCAAAACTTAAACCTGCTACCGAAACCACCAAACCCTAAAACCCTAAACCGTAAATCCCTAAACTCTGAACCCCTAAACCCTAAGCCCTTAAACCCTAAAACCCTAGACCTTAAGTCCGGAAGCCCTACGACTCCTACTGAGGCTGTACATCTCCTACCTGACCCGGCACGGGGTACTTGGAGGATCACGGGATGTAGCAAGCAAGGTCCTGAATACCTTCATTGGTAACTAGTTACGTATTACTACTGCAGCAGTTACGTTATGTAGAACCGTACTTCTTAAGTCTACGGGGAACTTTAGTCATGGCTAACTATTTTTTTTTAATCGGGGTACGTTTTACCTCACTTGCTGAATCCCCTGACCCTTTAAAGAAGACGGCTGCCTAATGATAACACCAGCGACAGTAACAATAGTAACACTAGTGACATTCTTGCCGAACCTTGCATTCTTCTCCAGCTTCCAGATCCATTGCGAGCTCCTGGCAACTGGAGTGGTGTTTAAGGCTTCAGGTTTTTCGGCTTAGCTTTCACGGTTTTCTTTGTCCTGCTTACGTTAAATGTTTGCTAGGGCTGAGGGGGAGTCGAGTATTCCTGCTACAGGTGTTCTGGTAGTTTATCACGTGGGTGAGTGGTTAATCTCGTCGGTTTTTGGCTTCAGGGTTGCAGGTTTGTGTCCTAAATGCTAAGCCCGAAGAACTAAAAACCTCAAGTTCAAACGCGTGGAAAAACGGAGAGGTTTCACTCGGACCAGAACTTGTTAAGCATGCTGTTTCGTACTGGCAGTTACAATACACACAGCATCTCTGTGTTTCGACACGTGGGCACTTAAACTAGTGTAATTAGCCTTACTTATAGCCTTAGTTGCTAGGTCCAGTGATCCTTTGCGATCTGGCGATTCTGCGTCTTCGCTCTCAAAACTAACTCAAGCCCTAAACTCTGTACAATCCTAGAAAACTCGGAACCCGAACCCAAACCTGCGAAGAAGCACATTCTTGAAAGCTCTGGTGGGAAATGTTCTACCAGGTCTACCATTGACGCTGCAAGATAGTCGCCTTACCCATTCGAGCTGGGCTTTTGAGTAAATATGGGAGTTTCCGAAAACAGGGGACCCTAATACAGTACAAACTCCCATATTGTTGCCACTCACATAGGAACACGAAGGCATAGTAGTTATCACTCGGGCTTCTATATTACCCTTAACTGGAGAGTTACGCTGGTTTGGAGTTCACTTGTTGTCTGAGGCCCAGGACGAACTTTACGAATGCTTTTAGAGCGCGTGCCTTTTGTGTCTTAGGGGCAACCACCCTCAAATGCCTCGAAAGAGTTGGGGAGTTGACTTTATGATATAAGCAATACAGGGGGAGGAGTCCTGTACCCGATTCGGGACCAGAAGATTTGTGCTGCTCCCGGCATGGAGGTGTATTGATCAGAGGTCTACACCGGCTTACGATAATTTGCTTTACTGTTCAGGCTTCCATATTCTCTAGCTCCGATGCTCTAAGTTCCAATCCCGGCTCGCGCACGTGCTTTGCTGGCTGTGTCTTGCCGTGTGTCCGAGCACATTCGCTAAGAGGCAAGACGATCGCGGAGGGGATGGGGGTGTAGCGCTTAGGGGTTTCAGGAGTTAGGGGTTTGGAGTTTAAACCTTCTGAAGACAGTCTTTTAAAATCGGAAGAAGGCTTCAACAGCCTCTTCCATGCCGTCAGCATCATGCAAGGGCTCGGCAAACTCCCTCCACGAACCACGAATCTCTATTTTGATGGCTACCCGAGGTGTATGTCGGTAGGTAGATGAGAGCAAGATATGTTGAACTCGAGCCCGTTAGCGTGCTCCATTTAACTTTGCATCGGGCTCCGCCTTCGAAGTAGATATACATACTACTACTACTACTACTACTACTACTACTACTACTACTACTACTACTACTACTACTACTACTACTACTACTACTACTACTACTACTACTATGTGGTAATACAGCCGGACAAATAGTGCTTGCAATTCTCTCCTAGTGACATCTTCTGCCCCTTGCAGATGGCGGCATCAAAGTCAGGGCTTTGCCAGGCTCTTTCTCCATGTAGGAGCAGAAGAGCAACCGCACAGCGGCGTGGCGGCAGATACGTTAGGAAATGCAAAGCGGCAACGAACGCCGGCACTGCACACAGCACCAAGACAAATGCTTGGGGACCGGTGGGCAGCTGGAGGTGGAAGCCCAGCAAGCAGGCTAACCACCACCACCAACAACAACACCAACCCAATCCACAGCAACACCACCAGCAACAACAACAATAACAACACCAAGACCAAGACGAAGACCACCACCACCTCCACCGCCACCTGCACCACCAACCCCAACAACAGCAGCAGCAGCTCACCACCCACCACCCACCACGACAAATGCCACACCAGCAACAACAACGGCAACTGCAGCAACATCAACAAACGTGGCACTAGCAACAGCAACAGTAATAACAGTAAGATTTCTAAAAAGAAAGAGACGAATAATGCATGGATATAACGAAGAGTAACAACAGCAGCCGTGACAATGATCACAACTGCAACTTTCCACTGCCAACAGCAAGAATCGTCTGTTGAATGCGGCTTTGTCTGCAGCAACGGCAGCAGCACGCAACATGTAGCTGGCATACGGAATCGTTAACACCTAACTCTGCCACCACGGAAAGCAGCAAGAACAGCCTCCCCTCTTTCGGGGAACACTCACTGCCAGGACGGTCGCACTGCGTCCCAGGTGGGGGCAGGCTGGCTGGGTCTCTGGCATGCAGTCCCGCGAAGGTTAAGGCACGGGTGTGCTAGAGAGTCCGGAACTTTGGTCTGCGTTGGTGGCACTGATTGCCGTCTCATAGTACTAATTCTGATGGTATACTACGGCATATATATATATATATATATATATATGAATACACGCACGTGAAAAGCTGCTTTGTATCGTGGTACGTTATGGTTGTGCCTGTCGTTCGTCGCTTGATCCGCTGCGAGGGCTGGGAACAGCTGTGCGAGCCTGCGGCCCAGCCGACCTACCGTCATGTCCAGAAACCTAAGTCTCACGTGCAGTCTGCCCAGTGATCGGACAAAATAATAGAGGGACTTCTTTAGCAAATTCACCAAGCTTCGCGTCCTTCCAGTCTATACGAACGAAATCATTTAATATTCGATTGTTCTCTTTCTATGAGTTCCCCAAGTACCGGATCGCTAGAGACATCCAAGATGGAAGTCCTAGTTTAAGGACGCTTCCCTGAAGTTCTCCAAACCCGCTTGAAGTTAAAGTTCTCAACAACTCCGTCCCTTTAGAAGGAGGTCCCAAAGAGTTCGGGCGAACGAATTCGTTCGGCGAACGAATTCTTTCGCGGCTAACAAGGCGAGAACAGGATTGAAGCTGTGACATCGAGAGGTGGGGTTCAGTATCATTACCGTCATGGTAGCTATTACTCTACTTCCACTACCAATGTTGAGATGGCTACGAGTGTTACAGTTGTTGCTGGTGTAGTACTGTTCATTCTTGCTGTTGCTGCTACTCCTTTGTAGGGTTTGAGGTCAGGGGCTTGGGAGGAGTATACCATAGTTCCCATAGTTTAGAGTCCTTAGGGTCATGCAGGATTTTGAGCAGAAGAGCGCATGAAGATGGGGCTCCTATAGTTAGGGCCTTAGGTGCCCGTGATGTGGAAGCCTAGATGACTACAAAATCTCATTCGTTAGGGTTCTGTCTATGAGTATAGTAGAATAAGCACGAAAACGTGTTTCAAATCATTGAGGTCTCTGTACTGTATCGAGCAGGGGACTAGACTTTGATGCTTGTGTTTATGCTCGCTCTTGGAGTCTCATCACCGTCTCCCTTGATTCAGCCACGACAAAAGAGATGCAAGCTCTCTCCAGGACTTCTTCGCCGCACCGGGTGATACAGGGGCCAACACAGTTTGAACGTGACCTTGGATGTATAATATTACAGTCTATTGATACTAGAAACCCTCAGAAATAGCATAGGTAACTATTCAATAAGTGCTCTGTCTGTTTATTGGTTTGAAAGCTGAACAGAACTCGAGAAGGGTAGTTGTCAAAATTAGGGTCTAATTTTGGGTACCCTAAATAGTAGGTGCCGTATTATAATAGGGACCCAAAAAGGGACCCTAGTTTTGACAACCGCCCAGAAGGAGATTGACAGTGAAGCCATGTTGGGAGCTTCGGGTTTAGCCCATCAGCCTGTTGGGTTCTAGATCCGCCAACACTTAAGCGATAGATCAAGGTGCACCTGATGTTTATAGTTGCTGCCAGTACTGCCAGCACCAGTATACTTGTTCTGCGGATCTTGCTATGATGGTCTTTATCAATCGCCTTGCCCATATTGCCATGATGGCTCCTGATACATATGTATATACTGTAATATAAAATAATTGAGTATAATATAACAAAGTATGATGTGATGTAATGTATGACTATATATGTATATACAAATATAGTGTGCATATATATATATATGCATATGGCTTTTGGTGGGCCTGCAGAAGCCTTGGCTTTAAATCACCTCTGAAAGGTAAAACTGTCGCATACTGGAGCCAGCTGGGGTTCAGGGTTGAGAGGTTAGTCAGGATTTGGGTTTAGGGTTGAGGGTTCAGGGTTTACCGGTTTGGGAGTTTGCAGGCTTAGGGTTTGGGGCCTTCGAGTTGTGGGGGGAACGGGACGTGCTGTGAATCTCAGGGATGCTTTCGGATTCAATCGTCTTACACCTTGAAAATCCCCTAAATGCTGGGCTCCTGGGCTGGAAACCCTACGCCCCAAACCCGAAGAATGCAGGGGGCTGAACGCTTCAGGAGCCGACCCTCCGGGTCCCAAAAAGACGAGGAATTGGGTGTAAGGTTTAGGTTTTCGGGGGTGGGGTTTAGGGTTTAGGTTTTAGGGTTCAGGATATAGGTTTTAGGGTTTAGGGTTTAGGGAGATCTCTGACCACGGACCGAAACCGAAATTGCACCTCGAGCCGAAAACCCACCCATGTGCTGGCTCTGGTGTGGAGGGTTTGTAGTTTCGGGAAAGCGGCTGAAAGCTTCACGGCTTAGGGCTACGACCTTGAAGTGGGGCAGGCACCCTTCTGGGGCTCCGGATCACTGTCTGGCGGAGACGCACGACCAGGGACCCCAGAACCTGGCAAAGCAATGGGCAAAGCGTAATTTCGGGGCCTTCACACTTGAAGAGGCGATTGGGGTGTTGCAAAAGAGGAAGCTTTTGCAAGGACTGGTGCCATTGCCGGGTATGAAGGGTTCTACATTTATCTTGCAGGAAAGTGTGGCTTCTGGGGCTTCTTGACTCGCTGGCAGCGACCGTGCTGTCCCTTGCGTCGGTCCGTGCAAGTTTCACGCGTCTTTTCCTCGCCGGCTTTACACACAGTGTACCACCAATCCCCTACAAGCATCAAACGAGCAGGTTCGTAAGCCGGCCCGACCCCCTAAACGACTTCGACGATGATAGCGGC